ACAGCGTTGTAAATAAAAAGGTATTAGGTAAGATGAAGGATGAATGTGCTGGGACCCCTATAGCGGAGTATGTGGGATTAAGACCTAAGATGTATTCTATAAAAAAGTCTGATAATGGAGAGATAAGAAAAGCCAAGGGTGTTAAGAAGTATGTTGTAAAAAAGCATATCAAACACGAACAGTATAAAGAATCATTATTTAACGGTAGAACGTTCAAACACGAGATGAACTCTTTAAGATGTTACAATCATAGGATATATGGATTAAGAATGAACAAGACATCATTATCCCCCTCAGATACAAAGAGATGGATTGATAATGATGGTGTCACTACCTATGCTTATGGTTATGGTGGTAATACCGTACCGTCGGGAACTATGATCAACTCTTCTCGTACAAATGCCCTACCCGGGTCCATCTTGAAGATAATAAAGAATAGGCTCTCCTTCTTTCGTAACCAATCGACTAATGTTATATGTCTTAAGGGACCATATGGGATCGGTTGCGCGACGTAGGCCTCCTTCGAGTTCACCTGCCTGGTATAAATATCTTACCCTTACTCTATCCGGAAGTTTTCGTTCTTTGCCTCTCCTCGGTGCTGAAGATTCGGAAGTCACGGATTTCATTTTAATAGCATCGGATGGTTTCTTCCCTATTAATCTCGTTACTTCATTATTCAGCGCTGATACAACGGCTGATAATCGTGTCACCCATTCGGTTGATCTCAATCATTCCGATTTCATTTCGATCCCATACTGATAGCCAAACAAACGTTCTGCTAATGTCCTGTTAAATCCTTCGACGATAGTTTGACTGCGGTGGGCCTCTCTTTCACCACGCCTGATTTCGACATAGTGCTTTGTTAACAGTTTAGTTACCGATCCCATAAACTCGCGACCGGGATCTACTTGAAATAGCTTAGGCCATTTTAGTGGTCCGCGTTTATATATGCGACTCAGTGCATTAGCTACTTCTGTTGAATCTTTCGAGGTTAATGGCTCAGCCTCTTTGTATCGACTAGCCACATCCACTACTGTTAAAGCGTATTTATACGTTTTGCGTTTTACCTTATCGTGGGGAAGCAACAAGAGGTCAGCCTGAAGAACTTCATTCGTTGTAAAAATATCAAACTTCTTCCTCGGTATATAACGCTGTGCCGGTAAATATATCTGCCACATCGCTTGTTTCTTTAACCAATCCTTGGCCACATCTTTAGATACCTTAGACGCGGTGGCTAATTTTTTTATTGCTCCTACACCTTTCCAATATCCTTGTGGGCTATAGTAAATTTTATCCATTATTAATTAATATTGATGTTTCTTTTAAAACGACTTTCGTTGAATCTCATCATCATTTTTATACTAATAGAAGCAATGATTGGCCCCAGGTATTGGTGAGCTAGACCCAATTTAACTTAATCTTATGACTATCATTGAATCGCATAATCATTTTGGCATAAAAAATGCCACCTGTAGTAGCAGTATAGGTATATGAATCCGGCTCCAGTGGAGTTGCGGCAGAACCCCCATTACCTATACTACTACTTTGGCCATGTACATACTGACCCATTTGGCTGGGTACCATGCATAACATGCATGATATTAAAGATTCCTAAACATGGTCTGTCTTTGTGAGAGATGGTCCATATATAAATCAATAACCTTTCACGTTATTGTCTTAACCAGAACATGAACGTGGCCAGTGGGACAGACTATAGGTCATTGCAGACGATCAAACTACAATTTGATCAAACAGTTTATGACAAGTTGAACAACTATAACATGATGGTGAGAGGTGATTCACTGTATACGATCAAACAGTTGACAAATGGCAGTGTATTTATTGTTGAGCAGTGATTGTGACTGTTACATTGTATCTGTTGAGATTCAGTGGGCGCTCATTGCATTGTGTTTGGACAGTGATCAGTTGTCAGTAGTGTTATTTAATAAAAGCAGTTTTTAGGAAGTGAATATATTTAGATGCTAGTGTGATATGTAAAGTTCCAGTATACTGTGGACTGATGTGGAATATTCTGTAATGTTCTTGTGCCCCTAGACTGGTGAGGGCACTGTGTATAAATTTCCAGTAGCTGGTTAGACCCCTTGGTATATAAAGGGACAAGAGCTTAACTCTCAAATCTCACACACAATTCATCCCATCAAGACCAGCTTTCGTGTGGAGATCACTTACCACCCCGGATTCCCTGCCTAGGCAATCTCGGAAGTTTGACCACCATTGCTGCTGGGTGAATATATATTATTATCACTGACTTTTGCTGTCACCACTTTGTATTGGATACTGACCACTGCCATCACATCATATATTGCCATTGAATATTGTACTGCCATTGAATATTGTGCTGCCATTGTGGTGGCTGTGCAGTAATTTGTGTTGATTTGTAAACCTAGTTAATTTTGTAATACCATTTGTTGGTTGGTTGTTGGTTTCACACTAATGTAAGCAGGTGCAATCAATATTTTGATATTTTCCCCATTCCGTTAAGTTGTGCATTTTGATTGTTATTGCCTGGCCCAGTTTTGCATAAACACCCATCAACATGCACGCTGCCTAACTTTGGTTACATTCCGACTCAAAAATATTCCTTAAATAAATATTCTACCATGAATTTGGAATTTACTCGATTCTGATTGGTCAATCAGAGGCTATTAAATCACAATAAATCCTCTCTGATTGAAACAGCTGGTTTGACGGCCGCATCACCGCGGACACTAATATTCATAGAATAGTACTATTTTCAGTCATTGTCGGTAGGCATATTTAAATAATTATATCTACAATTACAGGTTACAAAATGCACAGATGCGGTTACTACAATATTCAAAGGATGTGTGGCAATACATTTCGTGCAGAAAAACACGACAGAAATCAACAAAGGGAATGTATTTACGTTTTGGAGACAACAGAAAGCTTGGAATTTTGGCGCTTTTCTATATACGACTGTGACATCATATCTTTTGCGTCACAATGAGCGAAATGATGTCATAATGGTGACGTGCGATGTAGAGCGAAAGCCTTGCACAGCTTGCTTTGTTTTCTTTAGGGATGCCTACCTCATGTTAGCTTACCAAGTTGCCGTGCTTATATGCTTTCAATGCCTGTCATATGTTCGAGTGAAGTATTACGGTGTCAACAAACTGCTTGAGTATATATATATACGGCACCATATTTTGTTCGGTGATTCCGTAATTCAGATCGATAACCCACTCAAAAAAACTGAACTCAACCCATGCCGCTTCACTCAGTATATTTGCTAACACCAAAGAGTTCGCATTATATTTAGTCATGGTAGAATGGAGATAAACATACTGTGTTTTCAATGTAAAGCTAGGTTACCTGTAGATTTAACCGCGCTACATTTAACATTTGAAACCTCACGCTGCGCGTTCGGTTCCAAATTCAATTTAGCGGGGTTTAATCTACAGGTAACCTAGCTCTACATTGAAAACACAGTATGTTTATCTCCTAATTTTATTATACATTCCGCCTCAAATATATTCCTTAAATATATATTATATTATACATTCCGCCTCAAATATATATTTTAAGTAAGTATTTTAATAATCACAATAGTTATTCCTCTGCTAAATAATGATGTGTTGTGACCTTGTACATACCGGTAGGTATTTAGCTTTGTCGCAGGATAGTCTGGTGTTTAATATAAAGTTAGACTTTAGTGTACCACAAAGTCAAGTTTTCCGCACTTCGCTAGCGGTATTTGTATGTTTACGAGTTGATTGATAATGTCAAACACTGTAAGATACTGTCTATATTGTTATTGGCACAAGTTTACTGCACCATGTAAGACATAAGGCTGACCAGCGTACTGCTGTGTTGCCGGTAAATGAAGCCTCGTACATTATGTTTAGCTAGCATGATTAGAGTTAAATGTCTGTAGCAAGATGGCATTTAATTTTTGTGAGTGAATGTTGATGTATATTATCAGGTAGCATCCTTAAGTCAGTGGTAGTCGTGGTAGTATTGTCGGGTATTTTATAGAAGTTATAGGCCTTAACTTTCATGTAGGTGAATAGCAGCACCAGAGGTCAAAGGTCAGATGTCATAGAGGTTATGGCGTTATGCTCTGTATCAATATTTGGCAGGTTTTTTTAACCAGCATGTAATGTTTACTGGTATTATCATGATTATGTAGCTGGTACTTTGAATTGTATTGTCATTAATATCACAATATTACACTATTGTTTATCATTACATCAAGTTGATACTTTTAGATATGGTTTGTTTTGTCAGTATTGTTACTTCAGGCAGATAACGGTAACACCATTGATACATATATCAGTATTATTGTATTCTGAGTATCATAGAGTACTATGTCAGAATTTATTTGTCAGTTATTTGATGCTCAGGCATTATCAAATTGTTTTTATGTTTTCAGGTTTTTGAGGCAGAGGCAACCCTGTAATTCACCAACCCTCCTTGTCTTTAAACTAATAAACAGACATTAAGTGGAAGTGATGTGTGTATAAGGTATAAGGTGGACCTGGCTACACTAAGTTCATCTACGTACAGATTTCTGCGTTAACATATTGTTTCAATTAAGGAATCTACACGTTACACAGTTTAGGACAAGTTGACCTCATAACATGATGGTGGGGCGGTGAGTCACTGTACACGATCAAACTGTTTAGGACAAGTTGACCTCATAACATGATGGTGAGGCGGTGAGTCACTGTACACGATCAAAATGTTTAGGACAAGTTGACCTCATAACATGATGGTGGGGCGGTGAGTCATTGTACATGATCAAACTGTTTAGGACAAGTTGACCTCATAACATGATGGTGAGGCGGTGAGTCACTGTACACGATCAAAATGTTTAGGACAAGTTGACCTCATAACATGATGGTGGGTCGGTGAGTCACTGTACACGATCAAACTGTTTAGGACAAGTTGAGCTTACAACAACATGGTGGGACGGTGAGTCACTGTGAGTCAACAAACGGAAACTTATTTTCTTATACCTGGCTGAGGACTTGTTTCGTGATGCTGACCGACTGTCCTTGTTGCTCAGCTTTGAATCGGGACGGCTTGAAGGCTGCAACATTTGCAAGAAGTCAATCAACAAACTTCATACAACATGTGGACATGTCTTGTCTAAACCCTATCATTCTGTCTTGCAACTGCAGGTCATATTGAGTGAATATTGCATTTCTGTTTTCGTAAACAGTACTTGAGGTATAGAAACTCAGTGATTCTTTTTTTGGCTGTTACCTCATAAGCAGTTTGTCTTCTATGATAATAAACATAATAACTACTGTAGTATGTCATGTTCCATTGTCATATTTCCCTGATATGAGTGATTTCCAATTAAATGACACTCAGAAATATATATACCACTTAAAGATTGCTAAGGATCAAGTTTTGATGACATAAAAAAATCATCCAATGAAATAATAAGGATTGAAATATTTTGGAACACAATTCTTGTTATGGACCTCAATTTCATGATGAACAGACAGGCACATGCAGTCATGGCAGCAAAGTACACATGGTGCTTGAAAATCTGTGTTTGGATGTATCATCACAGAATCATTGCACATCATTATCAGAGAGGGCAAAAACATTTGCAACTGAGGATTGCAACAACTGAATGCACTTGTGCCCCTTCAGGTTCAACGACCAAAGAAATAGACAGATGCATGATCATGCTTGAAAACGTCTTTGGTGTCAGGAATGTATACCAGGGGCTTCTTGTTATCAGTTACCCAGCTACATTGTACATGCAGGTGGTCAACAGGGTTCAACCACTCAGCAGGAAGACAGATTTCTCCTGATTACAGCAAGACATCATCACTTCGTCACTGCCACCACACTCCTTGCAGAATGCCCAGGCTGGTCTCCGGTAAAGGAGGGCATGCATTCACATCCAACTGACCCGACATCTCAGGCTGGTCTCCGGTAAAGGAGGCCATGCATTCACATCCAACTGACCCGACATTTCAGGCTGGTCTCCGGTACAGGACGGCATGCATTTGCATCGAACTGACCCAACATCTCAGGCTGGTCTCCGGTAAAGGAGGGCATGCATTCACATCCAACTGACCCAACATTTCAGGCTGGTCTCTGGTAAAGGACGGCATGCATTCACATCCAACTGACCCGACATCTCAGGCTGGTCTCCGGTAAAGGAGGCCATGCATTCACATCCAACTGACCCGACATTTCAGGCTGGTCTCCGGTACAGGACGGCATGCATTTGCATCGAACTGACCCGACATCTCAGGCTGGTCTCCGGTAAAGGAGGGCATGCATTCACATCCAACTGACCCGACATCTCAGGCTGGTCTCCGGTGAAGGAGGGCATGCATTCACATCCAACTGACCCGACATCTCAGGCTGGTCTCCGGTAAAGGAGGCCATGCATTCACATCCAACTGACCCGACATCTCAGGCTGGTCTCCGGTAAAGGAGGCCATGCATTCACATCCAACTGACCCGACATCTCAGGCTGGTCTCCGGTAAAGGAGGCCATGCATTCACATCCAACTGACCCGACATCTCAGGCTGGTCTCCGGTGAAGGAGGGCATGCATTCACATCCAACTGACCCGACATCTCAGGCTGGTCTCCGGTAAAGGAGGGCATGCATTCACATCCAACTGACCCGACATCTCAGGCTGGTCTCCGGTGAAGGAGGGCATGCATTCACATCCAACTGACCCGACATCTCAGGCTGGTCTCCGGTAAAGGAGGCCATGCATTCACATCCAACTGACCCGACATCTCAGGCTGGTCACCGGTAAAGGAGGCCATGCATTCACATCCAACTGACCCGACATCTCAGGCTGGTCTCCGGTAAAGGAGGCCATGCATTCACATCCAACTGACCCGACATCTCAGGCTGGTCTCCGGTGAAGGAGGGCATGCATTCACATCCAACTGACCCGACATCTCAGGCTGGTCTCCGGTGAATGAGGGCATGCATTCACATCCAACTGACCTGACATCTCTGTTTAGAACTGGTTGTAGTTGGATTAACGAATTTGATCACCATTGCACTCAACAAACCTAATAAAATTAATAAATTAAAAGTAAATTGACACACTTGCTTGTGTATTATCTCGGTATTCATCTTTACAAGTTCCCTTATGTGTCTTCTATGGAAAAGGCTGATCTTACCTCTGGTAACACAGCGTCACGTCATACTAGAGTAGAAGGGCTGATCTTAAATTTGTAACACAGCGTCATGTCCTACTAGAGTAGAAGGGATGATCTTACCTCTTGCAACACAGTGTCATGTCCTACTAGAGTAGAAGGGCGGATCTTACCTCTTGCAACACAGCGTCACGTCATACTAGAGTAGAAGGGCTGATCTTACCCCTTGTATCACAGTGTCACATCATACTAGAGTAGAAAGGGCTGATCTTACCCCTTGTATCACAGTGTCACATCATACTAGAGTAGAAAGGGCTGATCTTACCCCTTGTATCACAGCGTCATGTCATACTAGAGTAGAAAGGGCTGATCTTACCCCTTGTATCACAGTGTCACATCATACTAGAGTAGAAAGGGGTAAAAAACCTACCTTCCTTTGTGTATCTTCATTTTGACCGGTAAGGTCTTCATCAAATTCCCTGTGGAGAATATAAATCTCACTGTATTATTAAAGTTTATATAAGAAAAGATATAAAGTAAACAAAATAGCATCTAAAACCAGTGTTGCGAAAGTTTTTTTGCCATTTTGTGCAAAATCTTTTAAAATCTTATGAGTGCACTTTTGTCCAAGACAAAGGGGTATCGAGTATAGAGTGCACCTTTCTCCAACAATTACAGCTGTGTAGAAGGGTGTGTCAATATGAACGCCCACATGCTTTTGATGTCTTTTCCCCAACACAAAGACTTACCGTGAGCACCTAAAACCAGAAATACCATGTCAACAAACCTGTACTGAAGTAATGCAATATAATCCTGTTATAACACTAATACAATATATCTGGTTATTAAAAGTGTTCGATGTACATCTGGACTTGTGATTGTAATCTATTCTATTTTTTTCTTTGATTACAAAATTCATTCAATGTTGTTAACATTAATTTCTGCGCTATTAAGTGTCTAAACTGACCCAAATGACTGATATTTACAGCAACCATTATTGGATTATTGCTATTGCCACCTTGAAACCAAGTTCCGGTGACAGGATGGCTTTACACGGACTAGTTACAAACGGTATGACCAGTAAATAAGCCTGACCACCTACCTACCTCTAGTAAGTATATGTCAACAACACGCAGCCAAGATGGAACCTCAGAAAGGTTGTTATTTTACAATCAACAACAAGACAACATTAAACCACGGATTAATCAATGGCTCGCATAGATTTCATTATTTTTCCCCAAAACACACATTCTCATCATGATTATTGTTACACTTTCTGTCAATGAAGTATTTATTGCAGAAAGTGTTCATTCTGCTTATGATCATTATTATTTTCATTATATAAAAGCTGCAATCAAAATAACACAACATTAGAATATATTCTTATGGTAAAATAATAGTATCAATTACTATTTCTTCTGATCCTTGAATCAAAATTCTTTTCAGTCACATTATCAAAATCTGGCTTTTCTTCAGACATGCACGGTATGTCATAACCAGAATATACAAGAGGGACTGGAGGGATCTAACATCTCGTAATCTTTGGACAGTTAACAGTTGTTTGTGGGTGCCTAATAAATCTAAAGCCTTTACCAACCTAAAAATTAAGTAAACATTGTAACCGAATCAACTTAAAAGGACAAATTCAGAAGACGTCAGGGACATGAGCAAATGTGTGATAACCTTCCACTGAATTACCATTATATTTGCATCCTGTTTCCGCTTGTGGAGTCACCAGATGACCTTTCAAATTATCTTTCGGACCTGACATCAGTTGATGAAGATTTGAATTATGAACACTGTTAACTTAAAAGCACCTGTTCCACGGACAGGAATGCGTTCCAGGATGCTAGGCTGGTAGACAGAACCCCTATCTCATGGCCCATACAGGATCCAAACATGGGAGTAGACAGCTGTGCATGACGGTAGCTGTCTGTGATGGTGGACTTCAACCATCCACGGACCATGGCTTTGTGATATCAGTTACTGTCATGCAAGACATAAAAAGCCATCTCCTCTGTCTGCTGTGAGGTTCCATACTGTTAGACAGAACTGAAGAGCTTGGATCTGGATGAGGTGACAAATTTGGAGTACCTGGAAGTTTGCATCTCATGAACAAGAACTTCCAGGCATGATGATGGACACTGTGTAGACTGCCGTAAATGACATCTGATCTGGGTTGGTGGAGATGGTCTTCACATCCCGACAGTTTGAAAAGTTGTCCAGAAGTAGTGGAAAACTTTTTGGGAAACCCATGTGCAAGCTGGCCATACTGGTGCTATGACCATGACCATGTTGTCCATGCCTTCTAAAAACTCTGTTTATGAGCAAAGGAGGGAAAGGCGTACACAATATCGGAGGTCTGACTTGTTGTTCAGACGTGTCCCACACTAATGTTATCCAATGCAAAATATGTAAGTGAAGAGACTAATGCCCTGCAGATGAGCTACTACCATGACGAGCTTCCAACCTGCAGCTGTTTAAGTCTGTCCAGTCAAACAAACATGAAGTCCCGCTCATTAAATCAATCAATCTGGTTAACCTTCCTCTTACCTCTGGATCGTGTGTGGTCACAAAAATCAAGAATAGGGATAAGAGGTGCTAAAAACATTAAATACCCTTCAACAAGTTTTCCTGACAGGCCCATCAGGGCAACTTATGGCGGTGAGATTTTTACGATAGAAAGAAAAGCCGTATTCTTGTGGTGTCAACCTCGTGTTGTTTATGGGCGGGACATAAATGATGTAAAACGTCACTTGTCTGATCATGTGACTTTCCATATATGGATGTAGTACAAAATCCGCTACCATAGGGATGGATATAGCATTAGTTATAATCCCTTGTCCTCTTCTCAACTGGACAAACTTGTCCCATCTCTTGTCATATATAAGGGAGTATGAAGGTCTCCATGATCTTGCCACAGCTACTGAGGCAAGCTCAGAGTATTCGGATGTCTGCATTTTCTGCGTGATAACTTCCAAGCAGTTAGATGTAGGCTGGACAGATTGTTGTGGAAAATGCTGGACTTGAGTTGTCGTAACAGATCTCGACGGAGAGGTAATGTGATAGGTTCTTCCATTAGTAGTCTTAGTAATCTGGGGAACCACACTCTCCATATTGGTGCTATCAGGATTATCATGCAATCCGTCTCATCCACATTGTGGTGACTTTGTCTAGGAGAGACCCCAGTGGGAATGCGTATGCAAACAGATCCGTCCAATACATCGATAATGTGTCGATCTGGTGAGCTCTTGGGTCAGGAACTGGACTGACATAAACAGGAAGTTGGTTGTTCTGGCATTTCGCAAATAGATCCATGTGTGGCGTGTCCCATAATGTGGTTATCCAAGCAAAGATCTGGGGATGTAAGGTCCATTCTGTTGCCACTATTCCGGGAAGATCCATGGGCCTTGGCAGCTAGGCTGATAGTTGATGTTTGGAATCTTTCCGTAGTGTCTTGTCTGACTTCATCCGTTACACGTCCCAATTTCCCGTTGAATGTTGTCAAAGCCGATATTGGTTGTGACATTATCAACCTCTTGGTTTGGTTAGAAACAGCTTTAGAACAGATCTGAGATAGCAGTTGTTGACGCTGTAGCCATAATAGTTGTGAAGACATCCTTGAGAGGAGAGTAAGTCTTCTTGCATCCTGACTATAGTGTCTAGTAGGCTGTGAATGAGTACGACTTGATCAGTCTTAATAGTCATAGGCGTGTCTCTGGTTATGCCTTCATAAGATGACCATAATGGTGGAATCATCTGTCTGATTTCTACAACAAACCAGTTGATATAAGTGCCAATGTCCATTGAGTATCTGGAAACAGATGACAGATCGTTAATCTGTGAAGCAGGTGACGTGACTTTAGTACTAGTCTTGTGAAATCTTCGTCCATACTTGGAAAATCCGGAAGTGGAGCATCGTGCATCCTGTATAACATCCGCTTCAATGGAGGTAAGGGTAGTCATTCATCATGTCTGAGCTTGTGTAGACTTTACAACATCTGGTCTACTACCTTGCCTGCATAGCTCAGCCAAGGCAATGTCTGGTGGATGTGTTGATACAATGTAGGAGCATGACATCCCCCACATTCCGGCATCTGGGGTAGCGAATTCTCTGTCACAGGAGGTTGGAGTATAGGCATGAGGTGGTATATGACCTCTCTGAGTTCCACGAAAGTATAACGCTCCGAATAATCCGGCTGGGGTGAGTCATGAGTCTGGTCTTCAAAACACTCTGTTTCTGACTCTGAGTGTCAGAGGGTAGCTCCCGTGGGGGGTTGGATAAACGTAGTAGTCCACAGCGTCTACCCCGTTGGGTCCGTCCTCTTCCGGTGTCTAGGACTCCGGTATGATTAAAGTCAGTACAGCTTGCGATGGTGTGTGTGTTGCCGTGGATGGCTGGGTTTGCCGTGGACGGCTGGGCCATGGATACTGTGCGGTGCCCGTACAGTGTTGTCTCACAGTAGGGAAAAGACTGCTGGCTTATATCCGGCTGGTTGATTGGCTGGTTAGTACGGTCGGCTGATGAAGGCCCTACGGCTGTGTGCATTGAATTACAGATGGCAGTCCCCATGTGGTCTCGTGACCAGGAGACTTATCTTCGCCAGAGCTATCTCGTTTGCACTCTTCATATTCTCCAGTTCTTTGTCTAGGGCTGAGGATCTAGCCTCAAGCATAGTCTTCATCATCTCCTGCTGTTCACTAAAAATTTTTTGGATTAGACTCATAGAGAGTGCAGGAGATGGTTGATCAACTGGAGTTGGAGGACCTGGGGTGGAGGCAGATGTGTTGGCTGTGATGACCTCCACATTCTTCTTGGCTGCCTTGCGCCTCTTAGCCTTGGTCATAGCCTCGGCTATTTAGATGAAGGTTTTTTGGATGTGTTGGCGCACTGCTCACATCTCTTATCCTCCATGCAAGTCGTCCCTCTGCACTTAGTGCAGTTACCATGAGGATTTCCCGTGATCATGACTCGACCACACTTCTTGCACCTGGGAGTAGAGAGAGATTCCATTACGACCTCACAAACACCTAGCACCAATTATACACATGTGCGTGCGATCGTCACTCCAGAAGCAGCTATCAATATCTACTTATGTGTCTGTTATTATAGAAAACTATTAGAATAGTCTTAGAGTAATGTGACTTACTACCAAGGGCTACATCGTTACTACTATTACAATAGGTGTTGACTCTAGCACACACAGGAAAAAAGTGAGGGTCCCCCCATTGCATACTCATAGCTTGGGTGGTTACGATGCTACTTGGAAACAACTAATAGTGAGTGATTGACAGTGAGGAGGACGTCTGTTGAAAATCGGAAAATTTTAGTTAGTGTGACTGAAGCCAAAATACAGGATTTCTGGCAGAGATGTAGTAGAGGTAGAGATTTCGTAAAATTATATCTGTCGATGCCCAGTTGACAGGACACATGCTTTGCAAATCCTGCACGTTGAAATCGAAGTTGTTTACAAACCAGATGTCTAGTTAGTTGCCCGATTTTGATTGGATTTTGCATAAACTCATGAGTCCAGCCAAAATGTACTCTAGAATTCAATCCTAGTTGGGTAAGGTTGGAAACTGGACTTTTACAGTCAGTTAACGCCCTTGCCTTGGCAAGATGGTTGATGACATCATAATACACTTTGCAGTCAAACATATGGTGAAGAGAAAACATGTTTTGACATTGTGTACAAGAAATTAGTGTTCAAGTTCAAATGAAGGATAGTATTGACATAGTTGTGTTCATGCTGTTTATCATAAATCCTAGGGCTGTTACAATTCACTTGCATATTCGGTGAACCAAACTGTATCCGTTCATCAACTGAATTTGTTATTCGTTGTCAGTAGAATCAAATATATATATACGAAAAAAAATATAAAAGAGTGTTTTTTACATGAAGTTGTCTGTTATTTATTGAAGCAATATATGCCAAATGGAATACATACAAGCCACGCAGTAGTCTGTTGTGTGGGCCATCTACACCTCAACCTCAGTTAAAAGGCTGATTTTCTATAATGCTCATAAATTATTTAGGACCCCAAAGCTAGCGTTGTAGCGAACAATCACTGTATTTTTCACAGACTATTATAAATAATACATCAGCTGCTGACTTGTTGTATTCATGAATATGTATCTCTGTATTCGTAATACCTCGTATTTGCCTCATAGTATATTCGTTGCAGCCCTAATAAAAACACTTTCCTTCTAAAAGTAAACCAATTAGCGACGTCTGTTAAGTTGTGTTATAGCTAAAATCTAACAAAACATTATGTAACATATTCACATGCTTTGCTTCATGGTGGTGTAGGTTAGGTAGGGCAGTTCCTATACAAAGCCACCACAGAAGGTACCACATCTCTGGTTTGCATGTACGTGTAACTTTGTAAAAGGGCAAGTAAACACAACATAGCAACTTTGCAGAATTTAATGCTTTCAGGCATACTTTTTTAACATACATTTCAACAATAGTAAGCTCATTATTAAAAGAAACATAATTTCCAGATGTGTAAAGCTAACAACGACACCAACCCTTGTTTCACCATAGGACCACCTCTCCAGTGGCTGTACTCGCCACCTTTTCTTAACACAACAATGTTTGTTTTATGGGTGTTAACTTCCACGCCCCTTGATTTTGAAAAACAAGAGTTGTCAGAAGAAGATAAATCCCGCCGGCCCCCACAAATTCAAAAGAACAAATCATCTGACTGTTACTTTAAGTCCAACTTGATGAGAGAATTTCTATCTAATCTGTCTGTCTGTATACAAGAGACGCTATTGATCTATCTAAACTATTCCATGGAACTGGGATTTGGAACTTTGTATTCCTATGTCAGGTACACACCACTATGAACAGAGTCAAAATCAAACTTGTCGTCATGGACACAGAAAATAACTAAAATAAAAAATTCCATAATAGCAAGAGGCACCAGTTGCCGATCTGGTCCTGGTGTGTGCACACAAACACACAACTATGGACAGAGTCAAAGTCAAACTTGTTGCCATAAAAAGTGAATTAAAATATAAATTCTAAACACACCCATGTAGCAAAAGGCACCATTTGACAACCTGGTCTGTGTGTGTGTAAAGTGTCATGAAAAAATACCTATTAGTTTTAGAGATATAGTCCGAACAAACACACAACTATGAACAAGAGTCATTGTCAAACATGTTGCCTTGGATTGGATATTGAAATAATATATTTTTATTGAATTCCTAAATAGCAAAAGGCACACTTCAAACCTTGATTGATACATGTAGCAAGTTTAGATGAAAAATGTTGACTTGTATTTTAATTCTGCCCCGTTTCATCTAAGTCTAACTTGTTTCAATGGAAACAGGAAAAAATCAAATTTTGAAAAATTCCTAAAGAATAAAAGTCACCACTTCAGCCGTTGGTGAATACATGTACAAGGTTTGGATGAAAAGTCTTTCACAGTTTCCATGTTGGGCTCTTGAAACGACACATGTGAAGTGTTTGAAACAATTTTAAAACCCAAGAAGACAGTCGTGCAGGTGACCCATAAGTGTTGCCTGCCCATCTTCAAAGTTACCTGCCGATATTCAGACATTATAAATATTTTAAAAAAAGATTTAGATGAAATAATGCAAACAATTACCAGAGTCTTAAAATTATCTGCTAGACAGTCGGGTAGGCAGAGAAATTTCATGCAGCCTGACAGAAAAGTTACCAGCAACGGGCAGGCAGGTTTTTTTGACACTGCATGTGTGTCATCGTACCTTGATGGCTTATTGCACATACTAACCATAAACAGTTTGTCTCACATGGGACAAAACTACTCCAGCCTACATATCTTGGAGAAGTTTCAATGCATGTGTCACTTACTTGAGGAAATCCTCTGTGTTAATGTTATCCAGCAGACGCGACTTGGACAAGGCAGCTTCCTGATCTCGCTGCAAGGAACAAACATGGGGCACCTTCAATCCATTATTTCATGTGGCAGAACTGAAACGTTCAATATGACTAGGCTTTTCAAAACCATTCAAACATAATGCAGCACTCCTGGGATGAAACGGTATAGCATCCCTCTGGAGAACCGGGAGGTGACTGGGGTATAAGGGTATAACATCCCTCTGGGGAACCGGGAGGTGACTGGGGTATAAGGGTATAACATCCCTCTGGGGAACTGGGAGGTGACTGGGGTATAAGGGTATAACATCCCTCTAGGGAACTGGGAGGTGACTGGGGTATAAGGGTATAACATCCCTCTGGGGAACCGGGAGGTGACTGGGGTATAAGAGTATAGCATCCCTCTGGGGTACCAGGAGGTGACTGGGGTATAAGGCTATAACATCCCTCTGGGGAACTGGGAGGTGACTGGGGTATAAGGATATAGCATCCCTCTGGGGTACCAGGAGGTGACTGGGGTATAAGGGTATAACATCCCTCTGGGGAACTGGGAGGCGACTGGGGTATAAGGATATAGCATCCCTCTGGGGTACCAGGAGGTGACTTGGGTATAAGGGTATAACATCCCTCTTGGGAACTTGGAGGTGACTGGGGTATAAGGGTATAACATCCCTCTGGGGAACTGGGAGGTGACTGGGGTATAAGGCTATAACATCCCTCTGGGGAACCGGGAGGTGACTGGGGTATAAGGCTATAACATCCCTCTGGGGAACTTGGAGGTGACTGGGGTAAAAGGATATAGCATCCCTCTGGGAAACCAGGAGGTGACTGGGGTATAAGAGTATGACATTCTTCAGAGGAACCAGGAGGTGACTTGGGTATAAGGGTATAACATCCCTCTGGGGAACTGGGAGGTGACTGGGGTATAAGGGTATAGCATCCCTCTGGGGAACTAGGAGGTGACTGGGGTATAAGGCTATAGCATCCCTCTGGGGAACCGGGAGGTGACTGGGGTATAAGGCTATAGCATCCCTCTGGGGAAATGGGAGGTGACTGGGGTATAAGGATATAGCATCCCTCTGGGGAACCGGGAGGTGACTGAGGCATAAGGATATGGCATCCCTCCTGGGGCTGCACTCACATAGGTTGTGCCACTCTTGTTGGCACCCACAGTTTCAGTGGACAGATCAATTATATGGTCTTCCACCATTATTTCATGCTTAACTTTAATGAAACTGTGTATCTGGGTTATCTGTATCAATAATTACATGCACTTGGGTGATGCCATATTGTAAAGCACATGTATCAGCAAGTGAGGACCAGAGTAGTTTCCCTTGCCCCATGAAACTGGATAGCTATTTCAGTTTTGAAAGTCACTTGTTTTGTACAGAAATGGCTTTAAATGTACAGGATAGAAAGTTTTTTTATGTTGTTTTTTTCTTTCTGTATTTTTCAACAAAATATCAGAAGTTAAAAAATAATCTGAAATTTGATTTTAATGTTTTTCTTATTTTCTTTTTTTTGAAAGTGCAGCGTATCATTAAAGGGATAGTACCTTGACAATTCTGTGTGTTTTTTAATCAAGCATGAAATAATTTTTAAAGTGTGATGTCACGTGCCCGATACATTTCTCAAACCAAAACAATAGAGCTCCACACACAGAAGCCGACAATGTAAGCAGAGTAAACTGGCTTCATTCTTGGTTTATTAATAGAGGGAAATTGGAGAGAAAGCTTGTGTGTTGTTCTTACGACTGAGCTATAAAATACTAATAGCCAGCTTGATTACATTAGAAGCCAGTGTTTGTCAAAGCCTAGATTACAATATACGAGTAAATATGCCTCAGTGATATGAAGCCAATCACTCTCCTACCCAGTGTTCCTTGTGGCCAGCCGAGTACCTCGGTCACATCTTACATAGTCCATTCATGTATTTCTCAACTGTTTCATTTTGGATGAGTCTACACAATCAGGTAAATAAACATCATGAAACATTAAATTTCATTGAGAAAATATCCTAAAACAAATTTTGTTTATTTCCATTTGCTCATTTATCCTCCGCGTCCTGTCATGGAAGCTCTATGGAGAGCTAGCGATATGGTTACGTTGAGGTGAATTGTAATGCACCTCACTGTAGAGTTGTAGAAGCATATCTATATAATTATGCAAACAATATGTATAGCGCACCAAAAAGCTTGCGTTAATGCCTGTCTGTTCTTATTTCAGACTAAGTGGGTTTGTTTACAAACAAGAGAAAGGTTTGGTCACGTGATAAGGCTACACCTGCAGTGTGGTCACCGGAGCAGGAACGGAATAAGGCAAGCAGAGCCGAGTAGGCTTGGGGGTTATTGGCTACTGTTTACAAACAAAGCTGCAGAATGGTCGATGTACTGTCCCTTTAAGCTAAGACATAACAAAATCGTCGCCTCAGTGCTATTTTGTCTGTCTGTGATACTCTTGCTTTCCTTGTTGTACCTTGCTGGTATTCAGAATTAGTATTCAGTATTAAAATAATTATACTTTGACAAATCTAGATCAGTAACAGCATGACAATGCATTGAATTTTTGTATTTGACAAAATGTAATGCAAATAACCAGTGCATTGCCATAGCACTTCACTCTTGTTCCAAATCTACATACAGTTGTGGATAATAGCCATTTTGTTTTTGATTTTTTATTGTAATTAAAATTTTGAAGCTATCAAGTCCTTATGTCAACTATTGACATTTTATCTGGATATATTGCCTCATGCCACAGACAACTGCAATGCATGGATAGGAGACTCAAACCTTATACCCTGACCACTTACCATGACTTGCTCTGCTTCACGTACTAGGGTAGCAGTCTTGGCTTCAAGTTCCTCATTTAGTCGTCTGCAACAAAGTGTACGACTTTAAGTTTAGATCAACTGAAATTCCAGAAATCCTCCCAGACTGTTTCTGAGGCCAGAACATCCTGGATAATGCTTGACCTGTGATCATGGTAATACTGGCTTTTGATATACATGTATGTACATGTAGGGGAGACCGGGGTGCTTTGGGACACGGTGTGCATTGGGACACCCCCCAAAACTGCTGTTTATAGGTGTACAATCACATGATCATTGACACTAAAGGAAGTGACATCATACACCGTGGCACTTTTTGTAGCAGGGGTGGATTATAGCTTATACTTTCACTGCAGACATTACTGCACAACTTGTTAGTTCCTGATTTTCCAAAGGTGTCAAAATGATGAGCTATCACTTTAACCACTATGCTACCCCACACACCCATTGCACTAATGGTTAAAGTCTTAAACTACAAGGAAAAGTCACCAGTCTTTCCTGAATGTTCCTGATCTTATGTTAAATTCGAACCCTCTAACCATCAAATTTTGGCACAATATATACCAGTTTAATTAGTTTTTGAAATTTTAGTCACTGTCATTTGACTACTGACTACTTGATAGTGATAATTTTTTATGATAATCAAATGTAACCTGGGTTTTATGGAGGACTATCTAAATCTGCTGAGCATTTAACAAACAATATGACATGAAATTGTCACAATTAGCATTAGTGCCTACCGGTATTTTTTTTCACACATATCTAGAAGAGGAACTGGGGTATGTATTTGAGACAGGAATAGTCTCCCCTGTCAAAGTTTATGTTTATGGTATTGCCTTTTATTGGCACAATATTTAAAAAAGCAGCTGGGTTGAGGGCAGACAACTCTCCCTTACAACATGAAGGTCGTTGTGAGATACACTCTTGCTGATGCTCTAACAGAGAAATGTGACTGTGATAAAATTATGCTTCATATGCGGTATATCTTATGACCTTGAGCTTTCAATTTTTCATGAAATGTGCCAAAAGAATTTGAGGCCATTTGGAGTGAGTGAGTGAGTATGGTTTTACGCCGCTTTTAGCAATATTCCAGCAATATCACGGCGGGGGACACCAGAAATGGGCTTTACACATTGTGCCCATGTCGGGAATCGAAACCGGGTCTTCGGCGTGACGAGCGAACACTTTAACCACTAGGCTACCTGACCGCCCCGAGGCCATTTGGAAGAAGTCCATACAAGAATAATATCTAATGTCATTAATCTTTGTGCAGTCAGTCTCAGAGAGATCACTGGTGGCAGAGAGGGCAGCCCCAGTCAAAGTCCAACAAAACCTTCAAGCATTCCTGTTTCAGATATGTAGGTTGACTCTGATGACTTTATATATTATTAATACCAGCGGCAGGGAAGCCATGTTTCATTTCTCAGAACTCAGCGTACAAAATGTGACGTCAAAACATGATGACATCACTATGTGTGTACATATAATAGTGCGGGTTATCGTGTCACACTGACTTGTGACGTAAACACTGAAGAGTACAAGACACATGCCAAAGCCACTTTGGAATCCTAGAAAAGTCAGTGAGTGATATCATGTTTGCCATCAAGTACATGTTTGGTATCATAGATTCATAACAGAGGTGACTGTCAGGTGAATACCTAACACCATAAATATCGTTTGATTCACTGTTTATTAAACTTTGAGAAACTTACTTTTCTTAAATTATTGCTTTCATAAAGTTATTTTTTATAAATCTTCACCAATAATGCGAATACTGGTATCTAAAAACTGTAGAAAGTACACAGTCGTGTAGCGGATTTACACAAAGTGAGCACACTCCGAAATCACAAATGTACATATTAAAGTGAATTCTTTATTTTAACAATAACTTCAAATAAAAACAGTATCAACAACAGTGCGAAATTACTGCAATAATGCTAAATAAGCCCCGCCCATTCTATTATCAGCCAATCAGGAAACAGTAGTTTATTAGTGGGCATGGTATGGTTTTACGCCGCTTTTAGCAATATTCAAGGAATATCACGGCAGGGGACACCAGAAATAGGCTTCACACATTGTACCCATGTGGGGAATCGAACCCACGTCATCGACAAGACAAGCGAACACTTTAACCACTAGGCTACACCACCGCCCAAAATAGAGAGTAAGTGAGCAAATTGTGTTTTATGCCAATATTACCAATATTCCAGCAATATCACGACAGGGACACCAGAAATGAGCTTCACACATTGTACCCATTTATTGAAATATATTTACTATAGTTTGAAAAATATAAACTGCTTGCTTGGGAGACTTGATGCCGTTATGCACACCCAGGTGCACACATGTTTTATCACTCCTTGTATGACTGCTCACGCTGAACTAATATCATACTGCTTTCTTTTTCTTTGTCTTTGTAATAGAAATTTTGCAATTTTACCAAAAGTGTGCCTTGAAATAGCCCAACCTTTTGACAATATACTCTCTCAAAGATGGGCAAACACAAAGATACCATCATACATGCTTGGGGACTGCCAAAAGAGCGTGATCCACAGGTGCCAACAACACGTGACAAAACTAATTCTGGAGCTAATTCTCACCTTGTTTACTTGCAGCTATGTTTTGTGAAATGTATCCAGGTTGTCGGAATGTGCAGTGAACCTTACATGACAGTAAACTCCAGAATGCATGAATAAGAATATATCACTTGTAAATGCAATCAAGGCCCTGTACTCACTATTTTGGCAACAGTTTTATGCGCACATTGACCCTTGAGGTGAAATGAAGTTAATCAACTTTAATCGTTCTTATGAAAATCATACTTGTCCTATTGGAAAAAGATATTTGTTTTGAAATATGTTTAGAGTATTTTATCTACAGTCAGTTGATGTTATCAGGTGTGTGTCAACCAAAGATAAATGAATAACTTGTAAAGTTGTTTAGTCTGGTTTCTCACTGTAGAAACAAAATCTTATATTGCATCTGGATTTTCTGAAATACAACCGAGATATCTTCCACATCATCCAAGACATAAAACCACCATGACATAAAACACAAAGTATTCATTTTACCTGCATTCTATTGATAAGTATTATCTTTGATAAGGCATTAACTCAATTCATAATTGGGCAACGTAACTAAAATCACATTGATGTAATAAGGCTGTCGTGGGGGGATATCATGCTAAATTTATTTATTTAATGAAATACAAAGGCACAAAAAATTATGCTGAAATACAGTAATGCAAAATACTTAAATAGAGAATACTACACTCATTCTCGTTAAATACCATTTTTTTACGAAACGAGTGGACTTTTGGTATCTGACCGAGGGAAAGCAAAATCTGGTTGCGTATGAATATTGATATATGCCCAAATATGGGCATTGTTGACATTTCTATGCATACGCATTAACAACATGCACCTGCAGTTGTGTTTGCAAAGAAAACAGCACCGACGCTCAAGATCTTTTTGGGAGAAATTCTTCAACTTATGGTAATTCAAGCGCCATGTTGTTAGTACGAAGGACACCTAAAAATTGAAAAGTCACATAAGCGCTGCGCTTTGAATATCGGACCAACAGTCGGTCACTCGCACTGCCGGTGTCCCGTCTGTGCAATTAAAATGATTCGGTTTCCTTGATCTATCAGCTGAATTTATATCATGTTCGTACCATTTTGGAAGAGGGAAATCAGAGTGTCTGCCAAAGACATTCATGTTAACTGTACCACCCTATACTGAAGACGTGAAAATCAACAAACTCAAGTCTGCTTGCATGTCAGTGACAGCTTCGAACGATCGAAGGGCAAGGTCACCATCGGAATAAGAAAAGACAACCGTGGTCTACTCAAAGATTTTTACGCTAGAGATAGGGAATGTTATTGTTCACATTTGGGATGTTTGGGGCCACAAAATCAGAAGTCAGGCACACGGATTTTTCGAAAGATTTGTATCTGGTCGTGCAGTCGTGTACGTAAATTCATGAACAACACCTCCCGAAACAGCGCCACAAAATACGCTTCGAAGGGGACACTGATGGCACAACCGGATCATCCCAAGAAAATCTAGATATCTGTCCTGATAGTTAAACAGACTTCATTTCACCACGCTTACCTTTTTACGTGAAATCAAATTGTAAGTTGCGAAAGTGGTCGGGTGCGTCACGCTCATGGGGGACCCTTGTTCTATTGATCGGTAGTCGTAAAATTGATATAACTCAATTATATGTAATGTCTGTAGAAGCTCTATGCATAACTTATATAGAATGCAAACCGAATTTGATGCGTGTGACTATTTTGCTAGGTTTAATAAAGTGTTTGTAAATATCTCTCGTTCTCATTATTAATTTCTTCAGTTCTGTCTTGTAGTTGCAAAATGACTGACGTCTCGCGATTTTTTATGAATGAAAAAAGTAGTCCTGGTGTGACAGAGGTCACGGTTATCCAATCAAAACGAATAAAACAAGGTCAACCTTGTACGACACACGTGTGACGTACGGATTTAGTATCTTACCACCTGTATCTTCACCAAGTTGGTAATAAATCTTACATTTATCTGATGTCCTGATTACCTCCGAGCCCCAACATTCAACTGTTGCAGCAGAATGCCCTTACTTTACAGACTATATTTTCACTTCACAGAGCAAATTCAAATTTCACGACAGCCATGCAAGCTATTTTGTGTCACCATGTATGTTACTTCCACATAACCATATATGACTTTTACATGCCATATGATGTCAAATATTAGATAGTATTCTGTTAACTCATAGTTTACACAAAGTTATTTAATATCAGTGTGTGATGTTTGATAAGCAGCTTAAATGGTGCCTTTTAAGTAAAACAAAATTTTGTTGGATGATTAGCACAGTTTGCTTTCCTTGTATTTCAAATCAGTTTTTTTTAATGATATATGAGTTTAATATTCCGTATCCATAGAGGTTGTAGGTTGTAGGGTTGTAGGGTTGTAGGGTTGTAGGGTGTAGGACAACATTTCTTCCTCAACAAGGGTAAAAGAAGACAGGTGTCCTACTTGTATTGCTCTTCTTTAGTGCGGATGTCATCAGCAGACGTCTGCTTGGTCCTTGCTCCGGCCAACCTTGGTCTTCCCGGTGCCGGTGAATGCTCACCACCCTGTCACCACAAAAGGACACCACTTGTTACATTTCAACATTAATTGTTTTCACGGCCATTATCACATTCATTAGGAATGGTTAGAATACTCAAAATATTCTGAAACATTACCTTGACCTTCTTATGGCATGTGACCTTAGAATTCCATAGTTTCCTGTTAAATAATCTCTTCTAAGCACTCAAAAGAAAGTATGATACAACTACATTTCACAATTACCTCAAAAGTGACCTCGACCTTTGAAATAAAAGCATTTAACATGCATGTCATGTGGTAGGATTATAAACGAATACCTCAAAAGTACACAAATCATACTAAAACCTGAAAGTTGACCTTTGACCTTTAACTAAAACTTTAACCTTTCTTTGCCCAAACCCAGTTTAATGACAATGCTATTGTGAGAGGTTTTTTACATCTTGTGACCTTTATCTATGACCTTTTTTTGACATATGCCCAGGGCCATGTGGAAGAAGTCCATGGAAGCATAATATTTAATGTCAATAATCTTAGTGCCGTAGGCCTCTAAGTGAAATCTCTGGAGGCAGTGATCAAAGCCCAAGAAAACCTTAAAGTTGTCACCATTCCAGAGTAGTAATTCATATCAAATTGTCCCTGAAGATTTTCACCAAATGCACTACAGCCATGTCTATCCCTGCACAGAGCTGCCAAAAATAGTGCCTCTGGCACTGTAGCTCACCTGGTCATGTAGTCAATACTAAATCTATAGATTTGAACAAAATATCTAGTCATTAAAACATAAATTTGGTCTCCGCGAACTGATGATGTATTTCCATTTGAAACTTGCAGTGCACCTCCTCCAAACAAGCTAAAGCTATTTTTAGGTGCCAGATCAGTACACCTATCACTAGTTCATGACGGTTAGGAAATATCTTGACACAGGAATGCATTACGTGCTACATACAATGTCACGTATTTGTGTAATCAGAAGGACGAACCATTTGTGGAGCACTGCTAAAAGCAGTTAGAGAAAAAAGATGACAGAAGCTTACTGAAAATAGATGAGTTATACACAGTGCATGTGTAATGAGGTTAATTACCATGCCTCATGTTACAAGCATTATAGCCTGTGAAGATCAGGGGTGGAATAGGTCTTCAGCAACCCATGTTTCTCCAAAAAGGCAACAATGCTTGTCTTAAGAGGCGACTAACGGGATCGGGTGGTCTGGCTCACTGACTTGGTTGATGCATGTCATCGAATCCCAATCGCGTAGATCGATGCTCATGATGTTAATCACTGGATTGTCTGGTACAGATTTGTTTATTTACAGACTGACGTCATATAGCTGGAATATTGCTGCATGTGGCGTTAAACAACAAACAAACAAATACAAGCAGTATACCAATTGTGTGTATATGGTTGGGAAGCACTTGATGACCTTGCCAATTCATATGATATTCATTTTATAAAGAAGTGATTGAAGACAGAATTATTTCAAAAGGGCAGGTCATTAATATAAGTACTCCCACTAAACTTTACATCATCACAGTTAAGAATATTGCGGGTGTTGACATCAGCAACAATTTTAAGTTCCTGTTAAAATATCTCCAGATTAATGGGTACAGATGTTGTTCTGCCTACAACAACAACTGATGAACTTGTACAAAAAGGAATGATACAAAAATACCATCATCAATATTTCTCCCAGTTATCATGGATCTGAAGTCCACATGAGAGGAATGGTGTGAGGTTTTGACACGTTTTCATGGCAAAAGGAATGACAGATGAAGACAAGCAGAAAAGCATATTGTTTGCATCATGTTGAACTGAGACTTACCAGAGCGTTGGTTCAGCCCAAAACTTTGGGAGAAAACATTGTACCAGCTTGTAGTTTGATTGAAAGAAGATTTCATGGCGAAACTATCGGAAATAGGTCTGAGATTCAAATTCCATTCACAGAATTGGAAGCTGGTGAAAATATAGCTGTAGTGAGCAAGGGAACCCTCGTGGACTAGGTCACAGCAATCCTAGGGGTGGAAGACTTGTTTGAGTCCTCACTATTTCATGGTAGCACTCAGCCTTCAGCTATGAGGTGACCCTAACTACCCAAACCCTACTTCATTACAGTGGATGTTGAGGGCACCCCAGTGACTTTTGACTTCAATAAGGGAAGCCCAGTGATCATTGGAATGAGCAGACAGACCAGGAATTGGTATTCAGTCATCCAGTGGTAGAAACTAACAGTTTTAGTCCACTAGTCCTTATAATGCTAACAAATAGCAAAACTCTTATAAATGGCAAATTTCCACGAGTCCTTATGATACCTTCACCATTGGGCAGTTTGGCAAAGACTGGTGCCAATTTCTAACGCTCATCATCGATGTTGAACACATCACAAGTATGTGAAGTTATAGCTGGGACAATCAGTAAAGAGTAAAATCTCTCCTGGCAAGATACTTCCACTGTAGTATAACCGGTCAAATCAACTTCCTGTTCTGTATGACACATACCTTCTTGGTCATGCATGGATACAGTCTTTGAACTTTGACCTGCGGGATGTTTCGGTGAACCTTATAAAACCTACAGATTGACACTCAACTGACATTAAAGATCCTCGAACACTTAAGGGATTCTAAGCTTATATCTATGTGGATCAAGAAGCAACTTCAAGGTTTTTCATGCAGACACATTAAGTAGATAGCCAGCGCCTGACTCAGAGAATCCAGAGTTGAGTCTTAATGCTTCAGGAATAGAACACATTACCCCTAAGTCTGCAGACATAAGTATCCAGACTGGGAAGGACTGAACATTATCTATTGTTTGAGAATATGTGAGCCGAGGTTGGCCGCAGTGTGACAAGTTGGATGACCTCTTTGAGCCGTACTACAGTGTCTGTTCTGAATAGATGCTTATTCAGAGGTTTGAGGGTCATAGTCTACCCGAAACTCAGGTCTGTCATATTGTTGGGGTTGTCCAAATGTCCCTCCTCTACACGCAAGGGAGTGTCCCTCTCATCCTTAGCCAAGATTACTCATGGTTTACACTGGTCCATTCATGGCTAACACATTTCTTAGAGTGATTGACGCCTACTCCAAGTGGATTGAATGTGTACCTATGTCATTATCAACCGCACAGGGTACCATGAACCAGCTCCGCCGGATGTAGATGACGGCATACCAGAAACTATTGTAACTTATAATGCTACAGCTCTTGTTGGGGAAGAATTTGTTACATTCATGTCCAGGAATGGAGTTAAACATGTGACAACATACCCTCATCACCTGGCTGGTAATGGCTTAGCAGAAAGGACAGTTCCAATAATAAATTAAAGCTGCAAGCAGCAATGGCGGGCTCCAAGTTACACTGTGCACAAACGTCCATGTTCGAATCTTTAAAGGGTTCCCTTGTACCAAATCCGTCACATGTAGGCACAAATTGCAGGGTATTGCCGCTACGAAATTGGCGTGTGCTAAGTCTGTTTTAAACCCATTTCCGACATCAAACATGTTCGAATCCTCAAAGGGTGTGTTTGTACCGACGCCGTCAAAAGTAAGGAAACACTTGCGAGACATCCCCGCTACGACATCGACGTGTCCCAGAACGTCCCGGGATGTTCTACACCCATTTCAGACGCCGTCCATGTTCGAATCCTCAAAGGGTTTGTTTGTACCAACTCTGTCAAAAGATAGTCACCGTTTGCAGGACATTGGCGTGTTCCAGGGGTGTCCCAAATTTTAATCAAATATTACCACCAAGTGTTGTTACTTTTTCCATACACCCAAGAACAGAAAATAAGATGCATATGATACACTAACTTCATGTAAACTTGCAATAGTTTCTGTGAAAACCTTCAATCCAATATGGCTGCCAAACCATTTGACCAATGACCAAAGTCAAAGAACAAAATATGTCAAGCAGCTCAAACAGCAGATACATGCAAGTTTTCAAAATAATCGGATAAGCGGTTGCGGAGCAATAGGGCGAAATACTTCTTTAAAAACGTCTTGATTTTTAGTTATCTGCCCTTGGCTTTTGGGGCTACGGCCTTGGCGGGCACTAGTACCCAACGGTCTTCATACACATACAAAATTTGAACAAAATCGAGCCAGTGGTTATTTTGCTAGCTCTGGTACAAAAATCGGTGGAATAATAATAATATTAAATCAAACGCTAACACTGGGTCTCTTCAGCCTTTCGGCTTGGGGACTCTTTAACAGGCTGTAACTTCTTTGTCAGTTGGGCTCCAGTCAAACGGATTAGCGTTCTGCGTTCGTCCGGACCCCGGGTTCCTGTCGCATTGCTGAGATAAAGTGCTAAACTTGTTTCCGACATCGTTCATATTCGAATCCTCAAAGAGTTTACCTGTACCAACGCCGTCAAATGTAAGGAACCTCTTGTGAGACATCACCACTACTAAATTGACATGTGCTTGGGTGTCCCAGGATGTTTTAACCAATTTCCAACTTCGACCATGTTCGAATCCTCAAATGGTTTGCTTGTACCAACGCCATCATATTTAAGGAACCGCTTGCGAGACATCACCAGACGTGTCCTTGTGTGTTCTTAACCCATGTTTGACTTCGACCATGTTCGAATCCGCATATGGTTTGCTTGTACCAACGCCATCAAATGTAATGAACCGCTTGTGAGACATCACCACACGTGTCCCAGTGTGTTCTTAACCCACGTTTGACTTCGACCATGTTCGAATCTTCAAATGGTTTGGTTGTACCAACGCCGTTAAATGTAATAAACCGCTTGTGAGACATCATGACATGTGTCCCAGTGTATTCTTAACCCATGTTTGACTACAACCATGTTCGAATCCCGAAATGGTTTGCTTGTACCAACGCCGTTAAATGTAATAAACCGCTTGTGAGACATCATGACATGTGTCCCAGTGTATTCTTAACCAATGTTTGACTTCGACCATGTTCGAATCCGCACATGGTTTGCTTGTACCAACTCCATCAAAAGATAGTCCACGTTTGCAGGACATTGCCGCTACCAAATTGGCGTGTGCCACAGTTTCCCAGAGTGGAC